AGAAAGCATTTGACAAGATGCCACATGAAAGACTTGTAAAACATTATATATATATATAGGTGTGGGGAATAAGTTAGCAAATTGGATAGAAGCGTGGCTTGACTTTAGGTTGTATCTACAGAAATATTGAATACAAGTCTAAAGAGGTTATAGTTTCATTGTACAGGTCACTGGTTATGCCACATTTGGAGTATTGTGTTCAGTCTTGGGCTTCTTACCTTACCTTACTGTAAATACAACATAAAATCCTATTTGCTCTACCACTAGCAACAGCACACACACACACTGCTTGGATGGCTGTAGAGACCGATCGACTATTACACCAAGATTCCTTTCCTTCATAACACTATTAAAGTTATTCCCATCCAAATTATACTTATAATTCAAATTATGATAACCCACATGCATTATCTTGCATTTATTATAATTAAAACCCATCTGACACTTATTTGCCCGACTTATTAAATGATTAAGTCATTTTGTAAAGCAGCAGCGTCCTCTTCACAGCACAAAATATCATCAGCGAATGTAAGCAATTTATTGATCCTTCCTTCAACTATTTGAAAAAGGAGCCGGTAGATGTTATATATGTAGAAAATGCCCATGATATATGTCTACCGAGGTTGTAGTTAAATGATTTGTATGTCGACATTGTAGGTCTTCGTGGACAATCGAGTGTGCATGGTTTGGGAGTTCCATATAGCTGTGGTGTATGGGAATCAGTCTTATGGAAGTAGCAGCAGATGTATTCTGAAATTTTTTCAATTATAATAACATTTTCTTTGGTTGGTTTTGATACGTTTTTGCCGGATTTGTTGGGTTAGGCTTAAATTTATTTGTATCTGATATGATGTCATTATTTTTTAATGCACTCATTAGTATTCATAATTACGATTGCATTGTCCTTATCTGCTTTTAGAATTTGGATGTTGCTGTCTTGTTTCAGATGATTAATACATTGAATATCTCCGTCTGAAAGGTTATTTTTCAAGGACGCATTTAACCTTAGAGCTATACTTGACCAACTAAACCATAAAGCCTTAATGGATAGATTCGCTGGTTGTTTTAGTTGGTTGACATTATCATTAAGGTTGTCAGGTGAGCAAAGTTTTGTGACTGTGTTTATTCGGTTTTCTAGTATGTTAAGTTTTGTTTTCTTTTGTTTCGTGTGCCGAGTTTCAGGGAGAGTAGAGTCCAGAGCAAGTGAGTTTGCTGTGGATTTTTATCTTAAACTGTGTATCTGTTATTGTGATATTGAGGTTCATGAATGTTAGTTGTTTATCTTTTTCATATTCAGAGGTATACTCAATATCTGGGTGTATGGAGTTAATGTGGTTGGAAAAGCTACGTGTGTGTTCTGTAGATGTGAATCTGGCAAACGTATCGTCTACATATGTGTACCAGTATAGTGGTTGATGTAACGTGACAGCTTGAGATTCAATCTGTGTCATAAAAATATTGGTTAAGGTTGTTGACACCGGATCGTCCATGCTCAAACATGAACATAAAATTGGTTTTTGAGGTAGTACCTCTTGCAGAGTTGTTATTTGCTTGCTGGTTAAGTTGGATAGAGTCTTTGATGTATAGTTTTAAAGCTATGTTACAGGCTCCAGTGAAGAGCGAAAACATTATCAACCTGAACAAATTTCCGCCAAAAATTGTAATGAGATTCATACACAGAAAACTCAACCAACAACACAATGGACAGCCAACCAACTATCCAAAATTCAATGAAAGAACAAAATATCACGTTGCTGTATACCTTACGTTTCATATATCAGCAACAAAATAACTAATGTTGGGAAAAAACTTATAACCAAATGCAACATTCCAGTAAACATTAAGTTCATCCAAAAACCAGGTACCAAACTAAAATCGAAAAAAGTAATAAAAGAATTTTGAAGAAAATAAGGATGATGTAAGGTTGACAATGCCAAAAAAGTACAGAGACAAGGTATGGATGAATACACAAAACCAAACAAAAATCCCTACCTATATAGCCAAATCTTTCCAAGAAAAAGATTTATCTACAACAAAATCTTGAATTCCTTTTATTTACATGAATTTAGGCTCGAATATAAACATTTAAATTGAATAGAGCTTTACTATATATTTACTTCGAGTGGGTTCCTCAACATCATGAGATAAGAATTATATACCACACAAGACTACTTTAGATTGCGAAGGAAATAAGCGTGTCTGATTGTTATCAACTGTTTCTAATGTAGTAATTTGTTTGTTAAGTAGAGAAAACTGCGGGTCGTTATGATGATATGAAGATGCGTCAGGAAAATTCTAGGGGATTTGACATCAAATACATTAGATAGTATATTTTAATTACGAGATAAGCGAAGCATCGAGCAAATAGTTAATAAGATAGAGAGATGTTTTCTTGGCGGTAGAGTAAATCAGCCAGTTTATTTACGTTTTTGATGTGTGTTAACTATAGCGTATATTGATTTACTTTGTACAAATAAGTCGAGTTTTACGTTGGTTAGTGCAGCTTGCGTCATTTGTAAACGTGGCCTAAGAGTTACCAAAATATTCAAGCGTGTATAAACGGGAAGGGAGAAATAAATTAATTTGTTATCATTTACTTGTACTGAACTTTGTATTATTTTCACAAGATAATCTAAAAGAACCCCCCTAACGAAAGAACAACAGTAATAATTTGAAGGTAATGTTGAACGACGAGATATCCCTGTTCCAAAGCTGATGCTGTTTTTTAAACCTTTTTATTGTCGTCGTCGCTTTAACGCAAAGCTAGACAATGGGAATCACCACCGCAGGGAATCAAACCCCGGATTTTAGCATTTAAATTCTGTAAACTTACCACTGGAGGAATTTAACTTGTGCGAGGCCTACCTTTGACTTACTAAACTGTTTTTGCGTTTCTAGCATATTCTTTTGTTGTTGTTTTTTTCTCTCTTTATCATTCATATCATAATTTAACTTTTAAGGTTGTTAAGGTTTATATCGGAGTACAATCCGTTCAATGTTAATTATACGCTTTATGTGGGCTTAAATGATCAAATATATGGGGCCTTTAGGCTTTACATTACAACATGGGAGTAACTTGTAAGTACCAATATATTTATAGTAGATACATCAAATAAACAAAATATTTATTAAATGCACATTGAAAAGTTGAAATATTAATAATCATAGTACTTAAAACATCTAAAGTTCCATAAATACTTATAACTTAGTTTCCAAATTTAATCGTATTTGTAGCTTATTGTTTAGAATATATACTTGTTTTTCAGGCTTACCTTGCGACTGCCCTAACCATTACGTCCCCGTGTGTGGAATTAATGGCAAGACGTATCCTAGCGCTTGCTCAGCCAGGTATATATTTTACAGGTGTCGCTCTGAAATAGTAATCATATAATTATTTTGATTTATGATAATATATTCAACAGATAAAATCGTTATTATTTTTATCACTAAACATTTATGAATATTTATTTCTCCGACATGATTTAATAGAATTATATTCTATTGTGGGTGTGAAAACAGTTTTTAAAGTGTAAGCTAAAATACACGCGTTGTACACATATTTGTAGGGCGTTAAACAAGTGCTAAACTAAACTTTTATGTTCCGATTATGTATTTAAACTGTTGTACTGAGGTGTAATTTCTTGTAAACAAGCCATATTACAGTCATTAAATAAAGTTATATTTGTTTTATTCTAATACTTGTTTTCGTTTTCAACACTCACAATATGTGTATCTTTTCCGCTGAAATTGGGATTGCAAGATCTTTGCCATTATTTATTTCGAGATCTGCGGGAACGTTTTTTTTATGCACTTAAAATATTTTGTGATAATTTTTGAATAAGTAATGTTCTTAGTTATTTATTTTAAATTTAGTGTTGTAAGTCCCTAAACTTACCGCTGACCCACCGGTGAACATTACGTTTTTAATCTATCCGTTTCTAAAACAACTTAAGTAGTTCAGATAAGACCAGATTAGGGTTCAGCTAACTTAAGTAGTTCAGATAAGACCAGATTAGGGTTCAGCTAACTTAAGTAGTTCAGATAAGACCAGATTAGGGTTCAGTCAGAAAAATCGAGAGTTTGCACCCTCTTGTTGGAAAATAACAACAACTACAAAAAGACGTTTATAGACTTGGACTGTGACTGTCAAATCCTGCTATTCGGTCAGACAGGAGTAACTTAAAACTAGGGACGGATATGCTCAGAGGTACCTTTGATTAGCTTTGCACGAAAATTCGGAACCAAACAAGAAAACCCAGGTTAAATCGGTGTTCGCGTGTATCTTTCAATTGAACTTCAATTATCATTATATTTCCAGTCACATAAATAACCACCCTCAATTATTGTGGCAACGTCAGATCTCCCCGTTTAATCTCTTGTTATTCGTTTTTCACGTTAGGAATTAATAAATCAGAAAAGTTGTAAAATGTGACTAGATACCCTAAAATTAGATCAGATTGGATATTCAGCCTAAAGACTGTCTTGGCAATCCATAATTAACTAGATATTGAATTAATAACTGTAAAATGAAAGAACTTTATCCCTCATTGGCTCAGTGGTAAGTCTGAAGGCTTATAACGTTAGAAACAGGGTTTCGATACTTGTGTAGTTTAGCGCTTAACGACTGACACACTAGACATTAATAGCCATAATTTATATCAAACTGTTTATTATTTTTATAATGCCCCTAGGGTATGACTATCAGCTTACGTTTTGCTAACCTCTGATCGTTTGTGTTTGTTTTTCCGTTACAGATGCGGTGGTCTTCAAGATAAGCAGTTCGATTTCGGAGCCTGCTCCTCTGTTAATCCTTGTGAGCCTGATCCTTGTCCTCACTATCAGAAGTAGGATATATTTTTACGAATCAACTAATTTCGTTTTCATCTATCATAAATGTGTAGATATATGTGGGAAAAAGTATACAATTATATATTTATTTCGAGCATTTATTAAAACATAAGAAATACGCCCTCTGGCGGCATACAACAGATGCCCCTCGTATATTACGTACCAATAGAGCCCTCCCAAAATTAAAGTAACACTTATTATAAAGGATGTACACCAATCAAACTGTAATCTGTATCTTTTTGAATCAGTGTAAAATGTGATTAATTTCAGATTAATTGCAATTTTGGCGGCACATTTGCTTCAATGCTTATGTGATTCATGTTATTTAGGATCCCATACCTAATGAAGTTATGGACCCCCTCCAAAAAAAAGCAATTTGCTGTATAAATAGTTTGGAAAACAAGTTTTAAAAAACAGGTGTGTTTATATGGGCACCACGGAAATATCTAGAGTTTACATGTTTCATTAAACCTTATGTTTATCTTTCTTTTCTCTGCTGTCGAAACTCACATACAGTTTACGGACTTGCAATGGTAAGATTCGGGACTCGATTCCCCGCGGTAAACACAGCAGATAGCCCAATGTGACTTTGCTCTAAAAGAATTGGTTTGGTTTGTTTGGAAGTTCGCACAAAGCTACACGAGTGCTATCTGCGCTAGCCTTTCCTAATTTAGCAGTGAAATACTAGAGGGAAGGAAGCTAGTCATCACCACCCACCGCCAACTCTTGGGCTATTTTACCAACGAATAGTGGGATTGACCATTACATTATAACGCTCCATGGCTGAAATGTCGAGCATGTTTGGTGGGATGAGGATTCGAATCTCTAAAAGAAACAAACAAACTCGCATATAATCTACACACAGTTGTAGATATGTTACCAGTCCCTTTTTGTAATTTTCTATTCATGTAAAATTAACCTTAAATATAAAGTACACGTTTTTCTGACAGGTGTGTTCGTAAATCAAGGGTCTGTCTGAGCTACCGGCATCAGAAATGTAAGCAGTACGAATGTGGTAAGCTTGTGTTTTAAGATATATGTACTTCACGTCTAACTAGGCTATTAATTTTTAAAGTTTATTACTTTCCTGCATTTAAAAACATGTATAGAGAAAAAATACATCGTTAAGAACAGTGAATTATTTACGTATACATTAAAATGTTTACGAGGATAAAGTGTAATTTCGTGAAATTAATTATTTCACGTTTATCAGCTTCGTTAAAATTTCAATTTATATTTTAAAGTTGTTAGAACTTTTGCAAGGCTATTCGAGATAGTAAAATAAATAATGACTGAAAATTATAAAATTATTAAAAAAGAAGCATAGCTCTTGTTTCCTAAGTATTTAATAAACAAACCGAACTTTTTTTTATGTTCTTTTCTTAGTTTCGTCTCACACAGATTGCGATGGGATGTCTATTGCTCCAGTGTGTGATAGTGAAAATAATGAACACTTAAACCTGTGTTGGTTGTTAAAAAAGAAGAAAACTCTAGCTTATCACGGGCGGTGCTTGGTAAGTTACTTCTTACTCGCTTTACTTGGTTTTCGAGTGATCGGCCTTGCTGCTTACATCACTTTCTTGGAGCCACCTTGATTCGATGGTGCCATCCTCTTTTGCTGGGTGACAAAATTAACAAAAAAAAAAAAACGGCTAAAATCTCTGTGAAAGAGAAAGATTTGAGTTTGTCATTGTTTTAGCCAAACAACCTTCATTGGGCAATCTTTTATATCATTACTTAAAGAAACACATGAAATCACTGTGTAGTGGTTCAAACGTACTGATTTTTTACACATTCTAATCATTCGACCAATAACATAGTTGCTTTATAGTAGAAATTCCCCCTCTCCAAAATCTATCAGACTTTGTTTTATTACCACATTAATTTATATAGCCCCTTGAAGAAATAAAACAATACTCTTTAATAAACAGGAAAAAATAGGCCAATAACTACAATGAAATTAAGGTTTTTTAAGGATATTCTGTTGTTTTTCGAAATTTGTATTTCACACTGAAGGGATTTAAACATCTTGGCAATGAAGTTAGAAAAAGAAAGGACATTTACTTTCCAGATAATAATAAAAAGGTTGTTATTATTTTCTGGAGAGTTAATATATTCTATCAAAACTGATTTAAATTCTTCCACGCTTTTTATTGTTTTGTATTGAAACCATACTATTGTTACAAAATCTATAAAATTGAATAATGTTAAAGAAACATAACAGAAACATTGTCGAAAATTATAAGCTACTTCAATTGTTAGAATACAATGTGTTATACTTAGGAAAGATATTTTTTTCCTTTACAGGAACGTTGCAGTATTCGGGGTTTAGTGTGTGGACATAGTGGACAGACATACCAAAGCGAATGTGCAGCATGGGCAGATCACTCTACAGTAGACTACACCGGACCTTGTGTAGCTGTGGGCACCTTTAGACGTCAGTTATTACTATTCATTGTTTATTTGAGTTCTTAAGCACGTGTTAATTTATTTGTCCGAAATTTGGCCCCCCCCGTGTGCTAACCCTAATTGTTCATTTGTTCCAGATTTTCGCGGAAGTTACGCAAAAGGTATCTGCACATAGCCACCCTACTTTTGAATTAATAGACTAGAGGGAAGGCAGCTAATAAAGAGCACCCTCCGCCACTCTTGGGCTGATTTTTTTGACCAAATATATGAGATTTCACTGTCACTCTTATAGTTCAAATACGACACTAAAGTGAGGAGTGATTTACTTCGGCAATGGGACGTGAATCCTCGGGTTAACAGCCATGCTAGTCTCTAAAACCCTAAGGGAGCAATATTTTGTTTTAGCAAAAGAAAATTTGTTTGAATTCATCCTTTCCTCGTATATAGAATTAATTATTTTTTAATCATACGTGCAATAAAACTGTATATAAACAGTGTAATTTATGGCTAGAATTACTATATTGTGGTTGAAACTACAAGATAATTAATTATATGATGCTTGCGTATGTGGTAAAGAAACTTCATAAAAAGTAGTGTATTAAATATTGTCCCCTAGCGGCTCAGCGGTAAGCTTAAGCGCTTGTACACTAAAAACCAGGTTTCGATACCAGTGGTGGGCAAAGCGCAGATAACCCATTGTGTTCACACAGAATTTCAGGTCACATTCTTCCTTGACCCCTTTTGTTTTTTATAGTTACATTC